CAGAAACAAAACAATGCTGCTTTGCCTAGCCTGTTACTGAAAGAGGCTTTCTTCTCTGAAAGGTTTCTTCTAACACACTGTGATCCGAAGCTAACTGGTTGTGATACATAACCCCATTTGCACCCCAACACCAGACAATGTACATTCAAACACCACTAGGCATTAAAGCATTTCTGCAAAAATAAAGTTAAAATGTTACACAAAAAATAAGGCAACATTTTTCAAGTTTCCAATGATGAAATGTCAAACTAGCTGAATCCGAAAAATTAATTACACAGATCTCAGTTGGCCGCTTCAAATAACCCAGGGGACCCAAACTGCAGGCTGTGAAATGCTTAGTGGCAAACTTTATGGGGGAGTAGTGGCAAATCTTATAGCTCAATTCCACTTAATATGCAAAGTCTTCAACATAAGAATACCTGTACTGAGAAAGGAACACATAAGCTTGGGTGGAAAAAAAATTTTTTTAATTATTATTTATTATAAAGATATGGGGTACAATTCAGGGTTAGGTATATAAACACTGATCATGCAGGTACCCTTGCTGATGAGGTATGCCCCTCCTTCCCCTAGCAGTTTCCCTCAACTGCCAGTCTTACTTGCCCCCCTGGCCCCCCGACAGTTTCCCACTACTGCCAATCACTTTCTTATAGCATTATAATTGCTCAAGGTCAGCTTATGAGTGAGAACATATGAAGCTCAGTTTTTTGTTTCTGTGATAGATCATTGAGTATGATTGACTCCAAATCCATCCAAGTTGCTGCAAAGTTCATATATTTGTCCTTCTTCATGGCTGCATAATATTCCATTCTATATATGTACCACATTTTAAAAATCCAGTTCAGTTTTGATGGGCAACACAGTTGGTTCCATGTTTTTGCTATTGTGAACAGAGCTGCAACAAACATACGTATGCAGGTATCTTTTTTGTAGAATAATTTGAGTTCCTCCGGGTATATTCCCAATAGAGGAATTGCTGGGTCATATGGAAGGTCAATTACTAGTTCAGAAATCACCACATTATCTTCCAAAGAGGGTGCACTAGTTTGTATTCCCACCAGCAGTGTAGAAGAGTTCCTTTTTCTCCACATCCTCACCAGCATCTGTTGTTTGTTTTATTAATGATGGCCATTCTTACAGGGGTTAGGTGGTATCTCGATGTGGTTTTGATTTGCATTTCTCTGATGAGTGAGGCTGAGCACTTTTTCATGTGTCTGTTGGCTCCCTGTATATCTTCTTTTGAGAAGTGTATATTCATGTCATTTGCCCACTTTTTAAAAGGGGCACTTTTTAAAAGTTTGTTTTTTTCCTTTCGGCGCATTTGAGTTCCTTGTATATCATAGATGTTAGACCTTTGTCAGATATACAGTTGGCAAATATGTTTTCCCATTCTGTGGGCTGTCTCCCTGCTCTCTTGAAGGTTTCTTTTGCTTTGTAGAAGCTTGTTAATTTGATGAGGTTCCACTTGTTTATCTTATTTCTTAAGGTATTGGCCTTTAGGGTTCTGAATAGGAATTGGTTCCCAGTTCCAATTTCCATAAGGGTGTCTCCTGCGCTTTCTAAGATTTTTATAGTTTGAGGTTTTACATTTAGGTCTTTGATCCATTTAGAGTTAATTTTTGTGTATGGTGATAGGTAGGGGTCCTGTTTCAATCTTCTGCATGTGGTTGGCCAGTTTTCCCAGCACCATTTACTGAATAGGTTCTCCTCTCCCCAGCGGTTGTTGTTGGAGGCTTTGTCAAAGATGAGTTGGTTGAGGAATTGAGGCTTTGCTTCCAGAATCTCCATCCTGTTCCATTGGTCTATGTGCCTGTTCTTGCACCAATACCAGGCTGTTTTGATTACTGTAGGGTTATAGTAAAGTTTGAAGTCTGGAAGCATGACACCTCCTGCTTTGTTTCTTTTGCTAAGGATTGTTTTGGCTATTCGTGGACATTTATATTTCCACATGAATTTCTGTATTGTCATTTCCAGGTCTGAGAAGAATGATGTTGGTAACTTAATGGGTATTGCGTTGAATCTGTAGATTGCTTTTGGTAGGATGGACATCTCAACAATGTTGATTCTTCCTATCCATGAGCATGGAATATTTTTCCATTTGTTTGTGTCTTTTTGGATTTCTTTGAGTAGTGTTTTGTAATTCTCATTGTAAAGGTCTTTCACTTCTCTGGTTAGGAAGATGCCAACCATTTTTCTGGTGGCTACTGTAAATGGGATTGTACTTTTTATTTGGGTCTCTGCCTGCTTGTTGTTGGTATATAGAAATGCAACTGTCTTTTGCACATTTATTTTGTACCCTGAGATTTTGTCAAAGTTCTTTATCAGTGCAAGCAGGTTTTTGACAGATTCTCTTGGATTTTCAAGGCACAGGATCACATCATCAGCAAAGAAGGATAACTTGACTTCCTCTTTTCCTATTTGGATACCCCTGATTTCCTTCTCTTGTCTAATTGCCCAAGCTAAGACTTCCAGCACAATATTGAACAAGATGGGTAAGAGTAGGCAGCCTTGTCTTGTTCCAGTTTTCAGGGGAAATGTTTCTAGTTTCTGTCCATTTAGCAATATGTTAGCTGTGGGTTTGTCGTAGATGGCGCTTACTATTTTGAGGTATGTTCCTTCTATACCTAGGTGTTTGAGGGTTTTTTATCAAGAAGGGATGCAAAAATATGGAACGCTTCACAAATATGCGTGTCCACCTTGCGCAGGGCCATGCTAATCTTCTCTGTCTCGTTCCAATTTTAGTATGTGCTGCCAAAGTGAGCACAGAAAAATTTAATTGTCTTGATAGATCACCTGCCAGAAAATTTTCAAAGTTGAATGAACTTTAGTCAGTAACCCTCTGAAATACTGCTGCCATTCCACTGTCTTGTGGCCTTGAACTAATTAAGGGTGTGTTTCCTCTAATCACATTTTATATAAGTATAGTTTGAGGTTTCAGTATTATTAAGAGGAATGGGTTGGATTACATCATTATTCCTCTAAAGTTTGAAGTCTCCAGTGTTTTACTAAGCATGACTCAAGTCTACAACTGATCAAGGTTTTGAATGAGCAGTAAAAACACAGTCACCATCTCATCTGACACCAAAGTCCCTGAAGGAAAAGGAGGTCACACTGCTACAAATCTAGATTCAGGGAAACAGAATTCAACTGTCAATCAAACAAAAGCAGGTTTCTATACACACACTCTCTCTTAGCTGCCAGACCTTCCACACAGGCCCCTCTTCCCGCTGCCTTTTCCATCTCAGCACACAGCACTGCCCCCCTACTGTTTCTGACAGCCAGAACCTGCATGTCAGGCTTGACTCCTTCCCCTTTCTTACCCCCAACCCAATCCTCTCTTCATCACCACTGCCGCCCTATATGCTGTCCCACTGTCCCCCTTGTACGCCTCTAATCCACTTGTCAGGCAGCAGCCAGAATGACTTGACCTGGTAACTAGAACGTGTCACTTCCTTGCTTAAAACCATTCATCTATATCCTACTGCTACTATTTATTTATTTTTAAGCAGTCGATTTATTGGATCGACCATAACAATCTCCAAATTTATGTCTGCCAGAAAATGGAATGAATGTGGTCTTATTTAAAATGAAATCTCAACTCCTCAAAGGCATGTACAATCTGGCCCTTACCTAACACTTCAACCTCATCTCATGATGTTCTCTTCTTTGTCATTTGGATCTAACCACACTGGCTTCCTCTCTGTTCTTAGAATCCCCAAGCTATTTCCCATCCCAGTGCCTTTATCTTATCCTTTCTGCTCTGGCCTGACACTCCTCCTTATATGTCAGGTCTCAGCTTCAATGTCACCAATTTGTCTAGAGAACAACCCTCTTTCTTTATCACAGCAGTCTACTTCCATCACAGCACTTCCACCCACCACAATAACATTCCACCCATCATAATAAACTCCACTTTATCCACACTGTGACTGTGATTTGTCACACTGGCAAAATGTAAGCACCACAAGGGCAAAGACAATATCTATCTTGTTCACCATGTTGTTCCCAGTGTCTAAAACAGTGTATAGTACTTCATGGGCCCTCAAGAAGCATTTAGGAAGAGAAATAATACACTAGTAACTATCCAGATGTTCCTGCAACTTCTGAACACAAAAACTATTTAAAGACTTCCACTTCTTAAGTCATTGAACTATACATGAAATCTTACTATTCTTCCTGCTAAAAACTGAGATACAAGGTATCAAAAGAATGCATAATTTTGTCAATATAATTCAGAATGAGTACATTATCCTGCTGTGCCTTAAATGTTTGTCCCCTTCAAAACTCATGTTGAAATTTAATTGCCATTGTAATAGTATTAAGAGGTGGAATCTTTGAGAGATGATTAGGCCATACAGGCTCTGCACTCATGGGTGAGATTAATGTCATTATAAAAAGATGAGTGAGGCTCCCTTTTGCCTCTCTTTCTGTCTAGCATGTGACGACACAGCACGAAGCCCCTTGTCAGATGCCAACACCTTGATATTGGACTTCCCAACCTTTAGAATTGTGAGCCAAAAAAATTATGTTACTTACAAATTACCCAGTCTCAGGTATTTTGTTATTGTAGCACAAGACAGAATAAGATCCCAATCATAAACAGACATTACATAATAGTTATTAGTTACTAATAAATTAAGTTTTTAAATAATAGTATCTATTATTTAAAATGTTTCAGGTAAAGAGTATCCTCAGTCCTCCTGTTCAGTATGTTGAAAACTCAACAAGGCTAATCAAAACTACTTCTGTAGTTTAGACCAGCCCAAGACTGAAAAGACCACAGATCATATTTTGTGAATCTATTTGAGAACACTGATAGTGGACCATATTTGTTTTTCTTTAAAATAATTATTTCGATGAAAATAATCCTTTCCAACAAAATAGGACAGACTACAAAAAACAAGAATGTAGGTTCAGAGCAGAAGGATTTCTCAGAGGTTATTGCTAGGAGGATAAACTGACAACCACTTTGAGACTATGATAAAATGAGAATTTCTTACTTGACTGCCTCATAAATATTGTTGGAAGTATGTCCTGATAAGGCATCATGTAAATTTCGAATAAAATAATCTCTGTATTCTTCTGGAAGGGCCATAAACGTTCCACCCATCACAATAAACTCCACTTTATCCACACTGTGACCAAGTTGTTTTAACTGAAAGACATAAATTCATCAGATTTAGAAATATATAAGCAACTACTTTAAGAAAGCATTACAAATTTCTCATTTTATTTTGTAGTGTTTTCACTGGTCTAGATTAAACATATTTAGCTAATTCTGTGGATAAAAAAATAGACTCAGATGTCAAAGAAAAATAATAATTATAGTTCGAATAAGGAAGGAGAATGAAAATTAAAAATAATTAACACAAAACCTGACTTGACTACCTAGAGAGGTAAGTAGAAATTTAAAAATGCAAATAATATAAACCAGAAAGCAGTGAAGATAAATACAACATGTAAAATAATAAATGCGGGGGATGCCAAAAAAAAAAGCATACATACTTTAAGAGATGTTATCTATGTATTGATTTCCAAAGTTGAATTAATTTATGGTAGCAATGTGTGGTATGATGTTCACTCAACTATGCTTCCGCCATTTTCTTTGACTGTCCTGCCTGTCCCATGGTGACACTAGCATTCATTTGATTAACACCATCTTTTGAGTGAACATCATACTAAAAATGTGTATACATTTTTTGGTACCAGCTGTATTTATTAATCATGTATTTTATGCCAGACTTAGTGATAAGCCTTGGGGACAAAAAAGATACATTTACGATCATGCAACAATTATATACATATGTACGATTATGCAACATAATCAGTTCTTAATGCAATAGAAGAAACAAACTAGATTAAAAAGAAAAATCAAGGAAGTTTAAAATTGACTGAGGATTCTGGGAACAGGTTGCACCTTAAGCCTGCATTCTGGAAAAAAAGTGAAAGTCTAATTAATAAAAAAATGAAATATCAGGTTTCCTCTATTAGGGGATAGAATGATACACATCTTTCATTTTGACAATACAATAAGCTAAGATTCTAATTTTTAGAAACAGGTATTTAAATTTCTTGCCATATTTTAGGCTTGAGAAAAACAGGATTAAGTGCCAAATTATGAAATATAATTAATATACTATGTAAAGGAGGTTTATACTTAATATGGACAAAAAGTCACCTTTTTTATACTTGTTCTTGAAAATGGTAGATAGTTTATACTATGTGTGTGTACATATGCATAAGTGTATATATATATAATATATATATACATATCATATGATATATATATATATCAAAAGAAAACTCTATTTCTATGTCTATGGTTGTTTATAAGGGATACACATGAAAACTACCCTGGTAGCTTTTTCAAGATATCTTGCTAGGACCCTAAACCAGACTTTTTCAGAACCTTCAAAGGTAAAGATCTCACACATATTAGTTACTCAGGTGATTCTAGAACATTTACAGTTAGAAAAGAATCTTTGCTCTATGTTAGTTTCCTAATCTTTTAACCTATGCTCCTTTTTGGTAAACATAAACATTTCATATTTTATCGAAAACATAGTTTTACATTTTTTTTTTTTTTTGAGTTGCAGTCTCACTTGGTCGCCCAGACTGGAGTGCAGTGGCCACTTCCGGCCACTGCAGCCTCACCTGCTGGGCTCCAGCGATCCTTCCGCCTCAGTCTTCCGAGTAGCCGGAAATACAGGCACGCACTACCATGCCCGGCTGACTTTTTGATTTATTGTAGAGATGAGGTCTCGCTGCCCAGGCGGGTCTCGAACCCACGGGCCCAGGCAATCCACTCACCTCAGCCTCCCAAAGGCGCGGGATTACAGGCTGAACCACCGAGCCCAGCTTAGTTTTACATTTTAATTGAATTAAAAATCATAGCTAAAAAAGAAACTGAGGCAAAAGTCAGTTAATGCTTTCCACACTGGGTGGGCTCCCCCAGGGGTCCTCTCCTATCACCGACAATCCTATTCTGCATATGCTTGGATGACAGTGAAGTAGAAATTAGAACAGGAAACTATTCATTCACCAATAAGCAGTTAGATAAACCCAGAAGCAACTTACTGACTATGGTATACAATACTTTCTATTTTAGACTTTGTATTTGTTCTATGTGTTACTGTTACAACTATGGACAATATATTTAAAAAGCTGGACAAGTTTAAAATAAAACTTGTAAACTAAGAAAAGCTATATTAATGTTCAGATTTCTTCCTATTCAACATAGTACTGTAAGTCCTTGCCAGAGCAATTAGGCAAGAAAAAGAAATAAAGGGCATCCAAATGGGAAAAGAAGAATTCAAACTATCTCTGTATGCCGATGACATGATCTTACACCTAAAGAACCCTAAAGACTCCTCCAAAAGACTTCTGGAATTGACAGATGAATTCGGTATAAAGTTTCAGGACACAGAAACAACACATATAAATCAACAGCATTGCTACATACCAATGACGACGAAACTGAGAATCAAATCAAGAACTCAATCCCAAAAAGTAGCCAAAAAGTTAAAACATCTAGGAATTTATCTAACCAAAGAGGTGAAAGATCTCTACAAAAAGAACTGCAAACACTGATAAAATAAATTGTAGAGGACACAAACAAATGGAAAAACATCACATTCTCATGGGTTAGAAAAACTAACATTGTCAAAATGACATCACCCAAAGTAATCTACAGATTCAATGCAATCCCTATCAAACCACAAATGTCATTTTTCATAGAATTAGAAAAAGCAATCCTAAAATTCATGTGGAATCAAAAAAGAGCCAGAATAGTCAAAGCAATCCTAAACAAAAAGAACAAATTTGGAGGTACCACATTACCTGATTTCAAATTATACCACAAGGCTACAGTAACAAAAACAGCATAGTACTGGTACAAGGGCAGACATATGAACCAACAGAATAGAATAGAGAATCCAGAAATAAACCCAAATACCTACAACCAACTGATCTTCGACAAAGCAGCCAAAAACATACACTGGAAAAGATATTCAATTCAACATATGGTGCTAGGAAAATTGAATAGCTATATGCAGAAAAATGAAACCTGTTCCTTACCTTTCATTACACATAAAAATTAATTCAAGATGGATTAAAGGCTTAAATGTCAAACTTAAAACCATAAAAATCCTAGAAGAAAACCTAGGAAAAAACTCTTCTGGACATTAGCCTAGGCAAAGAATTTATGGCTAAAACCCCAAAAAGAAATACAATAAAAACAAAAATAAATAAGTAGGGCTTAATTAAACTAAAAATCTTCTGTGCAGCAAAAGAAATAATCAACAGAGTAAATAGGAAACTTACAGAATGGGAGAAGATATTCACAAAGCATACATCTGACAAAGACCAATATCCAGAATCTACAAAGAACTCAAAACAAATCAGAAAAAAAAAAAAATAAAGCAAATAAGCCCATCAAAATTTAGAGAAATGACATGAACAGCCATCTCTCAAAAGAAGAAATACCAATGACCAACAACACATATGAAAAAATGTTCAACATCACTAATCATCAGGGAAATACAAATCAAAACCATGAGAAACCAACTTACACCTGTCAGAATGGCCATTATTTAAAAAAAAAAAAAGATGCTGGTGTAGATATGATGAAAAGAGAACATAAATACAGTTAGTAGGAGTGTAAATTAGTACAGCTTCTGTGGAAACGGGTAATGGAGATTTCTCAAAGAACTAAAAGTAGATCTACCATTTGATCCAGCAATCCCACTATTAGGTATCTGCCCAAAGGAACAGAATTTGTTACACACACAAAAAAAATCTGCACTCAGATGTTTATCGCAGCACAATTCATAACTACAAAGAAGTGGCATCAAGCTAAATGCCCATCAACTGATCAGTGGATAATGAAAATATAGTGGTATGTGTGTATATATATATATAGGTATACATACCACGGTTGCCAAAAAGTGTATACACATTTTAAGAGCTACTATCTATGTATTACTTTTAGTTTGCCATAATCAGAAGGGTCTGGATGCTGAAGGTAATCACTTTGAGTACCTCTTGTAACTGCAGTGGTCAAATGTGACCTGCATTCATTTTTTTGTTATCAGTGCATATCATAATTTTAATAGCTTTTTCCTTTCAAATGTGAATACATTTTTTGGCACCCTCTGTATATACCACAGAATCCTATTCAGCCATAAAAAAGAATGAAATAGTGTCTTTTGCAGCAGCTTGGATGGAATTGAAGAACTTCGTCCTAAGTGAACTAATGCAGAGATAGAAAACCAAATCCTACATGGTCTCACTGATAAGTGGGAACGAAACTAAGGATCTGTAAGAGCATACAGTATGCCATAATGGACATTGGAGACTCAGAAGGAGGAGGGTGGGAAGGGGTAGAGGGATAAAAATTACCTATCAAATACAATGTGCACAGGTGGGAGTGGTAGGTACACTTAAGCCCAGACTTTTTCACAGCTCTACAAGGTCTGACAATTAAGTTCATGAACTCATCCTAGAAAAGATACTACATACATCATTGCTGAATATCACTATGGTCGCCTTCAAAGTATTCCCCGAAGGGAGCTATGTGTAGATGCCAATGCCCAGTCCACTTGTCAAAGCAATTTGGAACTCTTTCTGGAATGGCCATTAGAGCTTTGTTGTATTACACTTGATGTCCTGAATGTCATCAAAATGTCTTCCTTTCAATACTTCCTTTATCTTCAGGTAAAGAAAAAAGTCATTGAGGGCTAGATCGGGTGAGTAGGAAGGGTGTTCCAATACAGTTATTTGTTCACTGGCTAAAAACTCCCTCACAGACAGTGTTGTGTGAACTGGTGCATTGTTGTGATCCAAGAGTGCTTTCAGGACCATTTTGCACACACCTTTCTCATGCCAAGATTTTCCTGATGTTTATTTGGTCTGCTATGCTTCTCACAGCTAGCCGATGATCTTGATGAACAATTCAACGGATTTTTGTAATATTTTCGTCAGTTCTGCTCATTACTGGCCATCCTGACTTCTCTTCATCAGTGATGCTTTCTCTCCCCTCAGAAAAACATTTAATGCTTTTGTACACTGCCATTTTCTTCATGACATTATCCACATAAACTTGGACTAACATGTCCCTGATTTTACTTCCACTCTTGCTAAGTTCAACAAGAAATGTTTTTTTTTAATTCTCAATCAAAGTTTATTTAGAAAGTACATGAGAGAGAGAGAGAGAGAGAGAGAGAGAGAGAGAGAGAGAGAGAGAGAGAGAGAGAGTGTGTCACCTCCCCAAGGTAGGGGAGGGGGCCTCAACAAGAAATTTAATGTTTGTTCACTGCTTTAATTCAAACTCCAACATTCTCGCAACAACATGGCTGTTCCAGAAAAAGAGTTTCAAAAGTGCTTTGACAGGAGGACTAGGTGCTGGTGTCAGTGCATGGCTTCCCAAGGAGAGTACGTCAAAGGAGGCCATAGTGATATTCAGCAATGAGGTATGTAGCACTTTCTCTAGTATGAGTTTGTGAACTTAATTGTCAGACTTTGTACAATCCATTCATGTAACCAAAAGCTATTTGTACCCTCTAAAGCTATTGAAATTTTTAAAAAGAAAAAAAAGTTTCTATTTCTTGAATAGTGTAAGGCCATTCACACAGTATTCATTTTTGATCAACTATACTGAGGTAAAATTTATATATGATAAAATCCACCAACTCTTAAGTGTACAGTGGATAAAGTTTTTTTTTTTGAGAAAGCAGGATTTATTGAGAGGACAGAAAAACTCCCACAGTGGGAGGGGACCCAAGGTAGTTACCCTATAGTGGATGAGTTTTAATAGCCATTTAGAGTTATGTAACCACCACTACATCATGATAGAGAACAAGTCCTTGTATCTCTTTGCAGTCAATTCCCTATCCCCACCTGGAAAACCAGTCCCAGTATGTCCTGATCTGGTTTTTGGAAGATGAAATTCAATCCATGCATCTACTATCTAAGAACTTTCACATACCTTCGCTCCACATATGTCATACTATAAATGACTTTCTACAAATTGAAAGAAATTTAGAGAATATAAACCCTCTAGAATAAATACAGTTTCTCATGCAAGTAGTGTTCTTGACCTTGCTAGGCAACGCAAATGTCTCCCTCCCAGGGATGGATATTAAAAGTTTACAAAGGGGAAAAAACACCTTTTTAGTTCTTATTTCAGGTTCAATTGAAATCAAACAATAATACCTTCTTACTAAGTATGAATATTTAATTTTAAAAAATTGTTTTTTAAAAATTTACCTGTTCTATTCGGTGTCTTGTCTGCAAATAAGGATCATATCTGGCACGGATAGCTCGCATGGAGGTTGGCTAAGAAAAAAGAGAAAAAATTCTGTTATGCCTACATCAAACTAAATAAATCAAATAAATTAAATAAATAAAACATAGTCTCAAAAAGACTGTATTAAAATTAAAATTCTCTATGGTTTTGGATACTACAAATCTGGCTTGTACTCCTTTCTGCTTAGCTCAGTCTTGTTGGGGCTCAAAATCATGTCCTGAATGGCCTCTGGCTGGTCTTTACCCGCACTGTCATAAGCTTCTCAACAGCAGGGTGTCTTCTAAGACTGCATCTGTCTTTTGTGTAAACAGACACCAAAGTGTGCTACTACTCATATAAATGTGCATACATATTCAGAAGAGTTATGTGGTAAGATAACCATGACATTAGGTTCTTACACACAACATAGTTCATAATGGCTGCACACATGGGCTCCATGCTACTCCCATACAATGGATTATTCTACAGCCATGGAACCAGATACTGACATGACATTGTTACATGAAAAAGACAAGGTGCAGAACAGCACTTGGATTTGCTATCTCATGTGTAAAAAAGCAGGATAAAGAATATATACAGGTTGAGCGTCCCTAATCTGAACATTTGAAATCTAAAATGTTCCAAAAGCTGAAACTTTCTGAGTGCCAACATGACACCACAAGTGGAAAATTTCACACTTAAGAACTTAATACAAGCTTTGCTTCATGCACAAAATTATTTAAAATACTGCATAAAATTACCATTAGGCTAGGTGTGTATAGTGTATTTGAAACATAAATGAATATCATGTTTACACATGGATCTCATTCGTAAGACATTTCATTAGGTGTACGCAAATATTCCAAAATCCTCCCAAAAATCTGAAATCCAAAACACTTCTGGTCCTGGTATTTTGGATAAGAGCTACTCCACCTCTGTATGTTTGTAGTCCCATAAAAAATTTCTGAAGGGTGGAGGGAGAATAACTCTGTGGAGGAAGAGCAGAAAAGGGTGGCTAGGGGATAGGAGTGAGAGGAAGCCTTTTCAATGAATAATCCCTTTTTTATTTTTAAAGATTAAACCCTGATAAAAAGAAATAAATGAAAACACATATACGAGAAATGTCACATTTTTTGCTGGTTTCTGAGCTCTTCTGAGAAGGGAGACTTTCTGAAGTGGCTCACTGCTCTCCTGCTTTCTCTCTGATCCCCACTCTAATCCTGTCTCCAAATGGCCATCAAAATGATCTTTAAAAATTGTAAATCAAACCGGGCTCGGTGGCTCAGCCTGTAATCCCGTGCCTTGGGAGGCTGAGGTGAGTGGATTGCCTGAGCCCGCGGGTTCAACACCTGCCTGGGCAACTTGGCGAGACCTCATCTCTACAATAAACCAAAAAATTAGCCAGGCGTGGTAGCGCGCGCCTGTAGTTCCAGCTATGTGGAAGGCTGAGGCAGAAGGACCACCGGAGCCCAGCAGGTCGAGGCTGCGGTGGCGGGGAGCGGCCCCTGCACTCCAGTCTGGGCGACAGAGGGAGACTCCAACTCCAAAAAAAAAAATGTAAATCAGATAGGGGTAACACTCTCCTGCTTAAATCCTAATGGCTTCTCATGGCAACTACTCTAAATTCCAAACTCTTCACCCTGGTTTGCAAAGCTCCCCACTCATCTGCCTCCCAATCTCATGCTTCTCCTTATCCACTGTGCTCCAGAACACTCTGCCGTCTTTCTTACCTTGGGCCTTTGCTCTAGCTACTTCTCTGCTTAAGAGTGCTCTTTCCTGGGATTCTTAGGACTAGCTCCTTCTTGTCAGTCCAGACTCAGCTTAAACGTCACCTCCTTGGAGAATCCCTTCCTAACCACCACAGCTAAACAAACCCAGCTCCCACACCTTATTCAATTTTACTTCTCTAATTAACATTTTTTTTTTGAGTTGGAGTCTCACTCTGTTGCCCAGACTAAAGTGCAGTGGCACGCTCCCGGCCACCGCAGCCTTGACCTGCTGGGCTCCGGCAATCCCTCCGCCTCAGCCTTCCAGGGAGCCGGAACTACAGGCCCACACTACCATGCCTGGCTAATTTTTTTGATTTATTGTAGAGATGAGGTCTCGCCAAGTTGCCCAGGCAGGTCTCAAACCTGCGGGCTTGGGCAATCCACTCACCTTGGCCTCCCAAAACATGGGATTACAGGCTGAGCTGCCAAGTCCAGCAGCTAATTGGCTTTAATTGATATTTTTCTTGCTTTTTTTAAATGTCTATCTTCCATTATTAGATGTAAATTACACAAGACCAGGGACCTTGTCAGTTTTTTCACTGCTAAAAAAAGAGTACAATGTAGTGGTGAGCAGCAGAGAGTTCAAAACCTGGTTGTCACTTCCTAGCAGAATGTTTCTGGGCCACTTGTTCTAGTCTTCTATGTCCCTGTTTCCTTATCTGTAAACTGGTATAGTAATAGTGCCTATCTCCAAGACACTGCTGTAAGATTTAAGGTTGTAAAGCACTTAGAATTGTGTTTGGGATATATTAGTAAGTGCTTACTTAAGTATTTAACTGGTGACCAGACCAATATAGGGCACTAGTAGACACTGAGCAAATATTCAGTGAATGAACAGAAAAAAAATAAAAACTAAAAATTTCAAGAAAGCCAGTTAGTACTTGTAAAATCATACCACAGGTAAAGTATGATATAACACTTGCATAGGGCAACCTCAAATTACTTCACCTCATATCCAGTATAGGACTGAGTTGAATACTCAAAATCCGAATCAGGTCCACCAGGGCAGTATCTGCCAATACAACAAAAGAATAAGAATGTCAGATATAAAACTTAGTTCTAAGCAGTCTAGTTCAAGTGTCTATGGTCTCCATAAAATTCTGATATCGACCAAGTTTCATTTTTAAATCCTAACAAAAGAGTCTACCTTTGAGGATCTGCAAATAATGTATTTTCTACACACAAGTAAACAAGATAAATATGTAAAGGAACACTATTACATTCATTTTCAAAATGCTGTATATCACCATTGTTTTAGACGTTTAAGCTTTTATGGGCAAATACCAGGGACTAAGTTTTCCTAAGTCTGGTCGGTACCCAAAGTGCTTTTTTGGAAACCACAATCAAGAAAATCTTTCGTTCAATCTTCCTACCTAAAATTATGTATACTCTTCTGATAATTTTCCTAAATAGGTAAGTTTGAGAAATCCAAAGCTTATTTATAAGGATAATTTCTTTTAATTTTAGTACTTTTCTGATCCAAATTCATTTTAAATTTCTGATATTATTTAAATTTAGACATATTTCCATGTTTCATTTATCAAGTTAACAGAAGGTCTACTGTCTTAAGTTCCATATTCTGTATTTTTTTCTTCTATATTGCAACAAATTAAAATCTCTATATATTCTCATTTTAAAGCACTGAAATATCCTTACAACGATCACATGTTTCAAAGAACTAATCCATAAACCTATTAAATAAAAACTTTAAATATTACCATCATCTACTGTTCAAGGGTTCTAGGGGACAGACAAGTTCAGTTACAATATACACATACAGCTTAACAAAATCATCACACTTACACACATATGTTTCCTGTAAAACTGATATGAGGACATCTGTGAGGTTTGCACATCACAGCCACAACAGCAATCTATAAAAGAAAGATGAGTTAAAATGCTATTATGGAATAATTAATATAAAATTCTAGAGAGTAGTTTTCCCTAGAAGGAGGAAGAGGAGCATAGAGATTGGCACAAGGGGCTTCAAAGGTATTATTAGTAATGCTGTATTTCTCAGGCAAGGCCCTCGGTACAAGAGGGATTTCTCAACATTAATCATCTTTAAAGTGTACAAATGAGTTCTTTATATGAGTTTATATTTTATTTTGCAATAGAGTAAGTGCAAAATAAGAAAGTAATTTTTAAACCCACAATGATTATTCTTTCTTCCTCTGATTTACTGTCTTACAAAAATAGCCTACAAAAAATTATTTCACACAATTCTATAAAACGGTATATAAACCTAATCTTCATAATTCGAACACCTGACAAACACATTAGATCTCAATATTTACAGCAGGAACTATTGAGCGAGGGGCTTAATGTTGCAGAGTCCATGTGTAAAATGTCCTCAGAGAGGTCTGATGGAGCCTAAGTAGGTGAGGCCTTTAAAGAAACAGGGGCAGATACGAGGCTGGTTACCTCTGAGGTGGTTGGTCAAACGAGGACAGAAATTAAAGCAAATGCAGGCCAGGCTTTTTGCTGTCAGAGAAGGAAGGCAATGAATATTTTATTAACCCCAGCTGGGGGACACACTGCAAAATAACTTGCCTGAAATCTTTAGAAGTGTTATGGTCATGAAGCAGGAAAGGGAGAAAACTAAAATGAACTCTGGGCGGGATGGAATTAAAAGTGTTGCTGCGAACTCAGTTTTCAACATATATAGATTGATATACTAATAAGTATAGATGAAAGTGTGTTATGTACATAAGTGTGCACCTATTATGTACCGATGTGTATATATATCCTAGCTTGGTCCACTGAGACCCTCTGGGAGCAGCAACACTCTCATAGCAGTAAACACATCTAGCATTCAGATCCTGATTTCTAAATACGCTTCTCCAACAAAAGAAAACAGAGCTTTCTGGAAAAATGGCTGATTCCAGGACAGAGGCAAAGAAAGTACAAGATGAGCCTGGAACACTTCATTGTGCCAGAAAGCCAGAAACTGCTCAAAGAATGATGGGGGCATTTCTAAAGAACACAAAAACCAGACTGAATAAGCTCCTCAAACCTGGGATAATTTGTACATCAAAATAAACAATGACAGTAACAGATTCTAACCCACAAAATATGAAACCATTAATTCAGCCATACAAATAAATGAGGAAACTGAAATCTGATGAGGAATAGGATATTTAACTAGCTTCAAAGTACTTCTCCACACAACACTTCTTAGTTGCAAAGTGGAAATAAATAACTACCGAGAACCCTGGCAGACATTACCTTGATCAAAATGGTTAACAACAGGAAAAGGACAAATGGAAACTACGCACACCTGGTGCGAGACGATGTAGAGGACACAGTCTCACATCTGTGCTGCTCCTGCCAAACATGCATAACCTGGACCTAATTATGATGAAACATTTTATTAGCCCAAATCGGGGACACATTACAAAATAACTTGCCAGAAATCTTCACAAGTGTTAAGTAATAAAGTCAAGGAAAGATAGAGGAAACACCCAGACTGAAGAGATACATCTAAAACCAGCAGACGATTCTGAGCTGCAGGACATTCTGGAAACAGCTGGTGAAACGCAAATGAGGTCTGAGGGTAACACAACAGCAATGCATCAGCATTAAATTCCTCATTTTGGCAGCTGTATTCTAGTGATGAAAGAAAATGTCCTTGTTTGTAGGAAATATACAGGAAATATACACTAAATTACTCAAAGGCATCAGTTTTGCAACTTACTCTCAAATGGTTCAAGGGAAAAGAGTTCTTTGTACTGTACTTTCAACTTTTCTGTAAGTTTGGGATTATTTTTCTTAATAAAAATTATATACAGGCTGGGTTCAGTGACTCAGCCTGTAATCCCAACACTTTGGGAGGCCTAGGCGAGTGAATTGCCTGAGCCCACAGGTTCGAGACCAGCCCAGGCAACTTGGCAAGACCTCATCTCTACAATAAAAAAATTAAAAAAATTAAAATTAGTTGGGCATGGTAGCGCACGCCTGTAGTTCCAGCTACTTGGAAAGCTGAGGCGGAAGGATTGCCAGAGTCCACAGGTCGACGCTGGGGTGGCCATGAACGTGCCACTGCACTCCAGCCTGGGCGATGGGGTGAGACTCCGATTCGAAAAAAAAAATTATATACAGGTACATTATTAACATTTAATTTAAATCATTAACAGTGATTTAGAGAAGCCCCCAAATAAATAATTTACATGAAATCTCATTTTAAAATCTGAATTAAAAACTTAGATTTTCAAACTAATATTTTTATTTAAAATGAAACACGACCATATATACCACTGATGAGGTCAGTCCAATTCAACAATCTTTTATTTTTTTTTTATTTTATTTTTTTTGAGTTGGAGGTCACCCAAGCTGGAGTGTAGTGGCATGCTCACTCTGTCACCCAAGCTGGAGTGTAGTGGCATGCTCACAGCCACCCCAGCGTTGACCTGCTGGGCTCTGGCGATCCTTCTGCTTCAGCCTTTCAAGTAGTCAGAACTACAGGCGCGCACTACCACGCCCAGCTAATTTTTGATGTATTGTAGAGACGAGATCTCGCCAAGTTGCTCAGGCTGGTCTCGAACCTGCAGGCTCAGGCAATCCACTCGCCTTGGCCTCCCAAAGTGCTGGGATTATAGGCTTAGCCATCGAGCCTGGCTGACAATCCTTTATTGGGGGCCTACTATACAGACCTCAATGGGCCCTGGGACTGCTACAGTAAAAATGCACTGCCTGTGCACTACCTAGCGGGGAAGAAAGACATATGGAAATAGGCTACTTCAAAATAACATGGCAAGAAGCATATGGAAAATACTAGGATACAACCAAAGAAGCAACAGGCCTTGGCCAGGAGTGAGGCAAGCCTTTCTGAGGGTCTAACACCCATGCTGATTCAGGAACTGAACTGGGAGGCAGAGGAAGTAGGGCCAGGGAAGAATGTGCAGTCATTTTCAAGCTTTTTAAAAAAAAAAATAGAGCTCCCCTCTCAAGTACCATTTTACTGTACAATATATTAATAATAGGAAAACTGGGGAGTGTTGAGGAAGTATATGGAAACCCTTTTTTCTGTAAACCTAAAACTGCTCTATAAAATAAACAAAGCACCATCAAGAAACAGCAAGAATAAAACCACAGAGGTGAGAATAGTAGTTGATAGGGGATGACAATCAGCAATGTTTTGCCAATATTTTTTTTCTTTTCTTTTGAGTTGGAGTCTTAGTCTGTTGCCCAGGCTGGAGTGCAGTGGCACACTCAGGGGATCCTTTCACCTCAGCCTCACAAGTAGCAACAACTACAGGCACGTGTTACTTTTTTATTTATTGTAGAGACAAGGTCTCACTAAGTTGCACAGGCTGGTCTTGAACCCATGGGCTCAGGCAATCCTTTCACCTTGGCCTCCCAAAGTACTGGGATTATAGGCGTGAGCCACCACGCCTGGCCCCAATATTTTTAATAGATCATTCAGGTGACATGGCTAAAGATAAATTTTGTGCCGGTAAGACAAAGCAGACCAGCTAGGAAATGACTACAATAATCTAAATAAAAAATAATAAAGACTAAAACATTCCTACCAGGGGCCATAGGAATGGACCATGCATTTCACATTTTTCAGAAACTTAGTAGATGGTGGCACCATAAACTTAAACTAACATGGACAGGAAAGATGAATGAGCAAAAAAGACATTAGTTTGGGTTATGTTATACTTGGGGAGGTTCTAAGGCAGTTAAAGGACAGATGCCTAACAGGTAATCTGACATGAGTCTGAAACCTGAGGAAAAGGTTAGTGCTGGGAGTTAGCATACAGCAGTGCTTAAAAACATCAAATGGATGAGATTACCCAAGAAAGCATGTATAGTAGCAAATACAGTGGGCCCAGAACCACATAAAACATCGATTATGAGAGACAAAAAAAATCAACTATGAGAACAAGAATAGACCTCAACAGAAGGACAGAATAATCAGAAACAGGAGAAACAGAGGGTGGTATCACAGAAGCTAGGTATATCAATCAGGTTGAAAGGCTGCTAAGTCTTTATTTTCCTTAGCAGCAAGCCCATACATAACGCATAATCTTAAAAACTCAAGACCTCTCTGTAAAGCATGTTGTTTAAGGACACGGAAATAAATGCTAAAGAAATTGGCTAAGAGTTTAAAGTAGTTGCCCCTGAAAGAAAATGAGGCGAGGGACATGGGGCTTTTACTTTTTTCCTAACAAGTCTTTTACACTAGGTGCAAAACAAACAAAACAAAGACACTTAAGTACAAAAAAACAGACACTAGGCTTACTGTTAGGTTGTAAAAGTCTGGGGGTTTAATTGGCCAGAAATGATAGGATCCAGGAGATATGGCCACCAGAGTCAACATGAGCTGCTTGAAATATAGTATCCCAATCCAAATAACAGAAGGAACCTGATGGATCACATCAGGATCACAGAGTTTGACTCTGGGGACTATGCTTTAAGGGGTCCCAATTCTACCAAATTTCCCTCGTTTATCTCACACTCATCTTTTTTTATCCTGAGTTTCTGCTAATTCGGGTCCTTAACATTTCACACTGAGGTTGGACCAAGAATGTCTAAACTAGTCTTTCTGTCTTCAAACTACCCTGTGTGTTTTATCCAAATTAATTTTCTGAAAATCAACTTTGTGCATATGACTCCCCTTTTCAAAAACCTTTAGCAGTCTCCTATCATCTACCTTCTTTGCTAGACACTTAAGATACTTACAAGCTGATCCCAAATGAACTCTTCAACAAAGTCTTGCTGCTTTCCCTTTCTACTGGGCCTTCTCCATCCCTTTTTTGCTTCAGGGACATCTCTGTCCTCTGGACTCCCATAGCACTCACAATTACCATATACAGAGCTACATTGTGCCATTAACGACCTTTTAAAAGTAGCCTTTATAAGCATCAATCATATTGAAAGCTACCAGCTTAAGATGGCCAACAAACACTGATCACATTGTGATTGTCACCAAGCCCCAATCTATAAGTTTAAAGACAAAAACATGATCTGCTCCCTTAATCACAACTAACTGGCTTCCTCTCTGCCCTCCTGGCATTCTGCATGTCTCCACTCCAGCACAGACCCCGATAAAGGACTTTCTCAGACTGAATTTCCAACCTCCAGTTCACAACCTGGGTGTTACACAGAGGTGGCCATTTCTAGCTGAATAGACACACAGTGTGTGACTACTTCTTGAGTTAAATCACTCACCCCACTGGCAGTTCTGATGGGTTTTGCCTTTAACTTGGGAACCAAGACCTTGCGATACTGAGGAGGTACTGCAGCAATGATATCCACCAGGCGGGGCTGAGCAGAAAGGCCATATTTGGCAGCTGTCCTGGTTTTCACCCTGAAAGTAAAGCATCCAGCACTATCAAGATCATGGTATTTTAAGGACAAGTTACCAAAAGGATGACTTCATAAGTCACATCATTAACCACTGTCACTCTCCCATCCCTTCACCACCCAACAAGAGTAGCTTTGAGATGTGTGAATACCAGGGAAATAGAACAAAATTCATGAATGAATGACTTCCTCTTCTCATCCTCAAGTGCCAGAAAGAAAACCGGAGGCCTATGGAGAGAAAAGAGGCCCAGGGCAATGACACAATGTGGGTCTACTTCAAAACAGTGCTCCAGCTTCAAAGAACTATTCTGACTCTACCTTATATCAACTGCAACACTACTGACATTTGGGACCGGGTAATTCTTTGTTGTGGGTGGCTGTCCAGTGCATTGTAGGATGTATTGTAGCATCCTTGGCCTCTACCCACTACCTGTTTTCCTGACGTAACAATAAAAGTCTGTAGACATTGCCAATTGTATCCTGGGAAGGAAATGACCCCAGGCTGAGAACTACTGGCTTAGAGAAAAAATAAATAATAAATAAATAAATACATAAATAACCAAAAAAAACAAGAAGGCTATGCAGAACCAAACAGGAAATAAAGCATATTTATTTGACCAGCTTTTCTTTTCTTCGTGTCTACTAGCCAAACTCTAATAGTCACCCTATCTTCTAATTTCAATTGATCTAGAATATCTATGGGAAACTCACATCAGTTTCAACAAATGTTAACTGAGCACCTAACATGTACAAGAGACCACCTAAATATTTGGTATGTCAGAGGGCACAAAGCATAGTCCTTTCACATTCTATGTTTACAAGTTTGCAGATAGGCATGCCAAAAATAAATGTATAAATGATAAAAACACACAGGATGAAACACACACAACCGACAAAGAATGCTTCTAGAGTTCAGAGAAGAATTTAATGCTTGCTGGAGAATATTCATGGAAAGCGAGCACAAATGAAAGAAAGGAGGCCTCAGACAGGCAGTGAAAGCAAAGAGAAGACACACAGAGCAGACGGGTTCGTTTATGGAAAGATACAAACACAAGAATGAATACATTTTAAGAAATATGACTAGGCCAACTTGACAAAAAGCAGATTTTCAATATAAGGGTACAAAAGCTTAAAAACTTGGAAAAACAGGTTGAAGCCAGACTAAGAGGTCTTACACAATGGGTTGGGGACATTTGAGTATGGCTAGCTTTAAGGAAGATAGCAGCTTTAGTTTTAAATGTGCTAAATTCAAGAGAATGACAAAAACATTTAAGTAGAAATGTTCACTAGAACTTAAAGATTTGTATAATTGGGGTATAACCAACAAAAGCATGGTAGAAAAATCAGTAAATTTTTATGTCTTCATCGTCAAAAGGGGTTTGTTATTAACTTCTTTATTCCTTTAGCAAATATTTTGTAAGCATGAGGTTTCAAGGCAGGGGTAAATATTGCAGCATCTCAAGGAACAGAGAATCGGATCTAAGAAAAGATCATGCTTGTGATGACTAGACCTGGGGCTGGGGGAGGAACCTTTTCATTAGAGCAGATCTATCTAGAGTGAATAAACAGTTTAAAAAGAAAAAGATGAAGAGATGAAAGATCATTCTTATTTGAGAGTATAGCACAGTCTGAGCTGAACGTGATTATGGAGACGAAGTGGATGAATGTGTCAAAGAGATTCTGAAGTGGAGAAGGGTTAGATTTGATCAAGGACCCCAAAAGGAGGGTTTTCCTGGCAGAAGGCTGCTGCTTCAGCAGACACAGCAGGGAAGAGAAGTGGGATGTAAAGTGACATAGTACAGAAGAACATAAACCATTGGGAGACACCAAATTACCTAATTCCAAGTCCCAGCTCTGCCAGTTACTAGTTATTTACCCCTGGACAAATTATTCAACCTCTCTATGGCTCAGATTACCCATCTATCAAATGCGAATGATATCAGTACTTACCTCAGAGAGTTTTCAGGGGGTTAACTGAGCTAATACACATAATGAACTAATAATAGTGCCAGGAATATAGTAAGTATCCAACAAACTTTAGAAGCTATTAGTATTATTAGGCTGAGGCACTTTGGCTATAAAGAAATGAGTGACAGGGCAAGGCAGAAAGTTAAGATTCTCAACTAAAATAAAACCTGAGATAGAAAACAAGTAATGTTAGATAATTTCATAAATGAGATCTGCTATCTAAGAGCAAAACTGTCCTCTTTCTATAGATGCACTTACTTATTTAGATCGATGTCTTTCCCCTGCTCATGGGCTTCAATTAGTTGTTTAATAACATCTCCTATAGTCAGCATCATCAGCTCAGCAGGGCTGAGATCTCCTGGAAAGATAATATTCAACACTGTCAAAAATTGTGTTATTCAGTAAAAATTTTAAAACCTTATTTAGTAGTAGATTTTCTTCCAAAATCATTCCAAATGTGCCAAATGAAAATCTCAAGTTCACAAGACACTAACCTCTACTGTTTAAGATTTGATTATATCTCTCTAAATTAAAACAAATCTGGCTTTACTCATATAGGAAGAAAGGTCCCTTTAGAAGCACATATACTAAAAGACTATTAAAGAGAGATATAGAAAAAGATAAAGAAAGAGAAGAAACACCATGAGAAAGAACCTAATCACAGAGAAAGGACTAAAACAGTTCAATATCTTTTCTTTATCTCCAGATTTGTAATTATTAACAGTTGGATAACACTTTAGAGTTCATAAAAACATTTAAGTGCATTACTTCAACTGACTCTCAGAACAGAGTGAGGGAGACAGAACAGGAATATTTGCCTATCCCATAAAGATACTATCAAGGGGTAAAACTGAAATTCAAACACAGGTGTCTGCAACAGTACGGGAGTGTGGGTTATATGCCTATCTAAGGATCTTAATGCATTTCTAAAATACTGTCTGTCCACCATCATGACTTTCTCCAGGCAATCTTTTCATCCAAAGGCAACGGCAGAAGCTAGCATGTTCTTATATAACCCCAACCACTCAATCACAGCTCAAAGATTGGTTCAAGAATGAGCATCTATCCAAGCCAGGCCAATTTGAGCTCCTTTCCGTCTAGCAAAAAGTCATTTTCCAGTGACAAAAGCTGTAGGATTTCAACTTGGAAGCTATCAACAAGCATGCTTCCTGCCTGTAGAGAAAGTTAGAAAAGAATGAAAAGTTTGGCAATTACGGAGCACTTTCACTTACTTTAGCTCATCTGAAACGTCAAAATAACACTAGACGGGTCTGTTATACCATGCTACTGATGTGAAAAATGAGGCTGAGGCAAGTTAAGACACCATTGTAAAGAGCATAGTTAGATTCAAATCCAGCTCTTTTCACAACTTCCATGCTTTTTTCACTGCACCACATTGCCTCTAATTTAATGAGGCAAAGCTAACACACCCAAAGCAATGTGAGGGAAAGAAAAGTCTATAACCAAAGGCTAGATGCCTTTCAAACCATGTAACTCAGCACTCTACAGTTCTACAAAGATGCCTCAGGGGCCATATAAAGGAGGCAGGACTGGTGGTGGTGGTGGTAGAGGGAGGAGGAGGGGGAGAAAAAAAGGGAGGGATCTCTATTTCCACTTCAACCACAACAGTTCTGCTTTCATTTGTTTATATATTAAAATTTTTGGCCAGGCACAGTAGCTCAGCCTGTGGATTGCCTGAGCCCAGGGGCTCAAGACTAGCCTGGGTAAACTGGTGAGACCTCGTCTCTACAGTAAATCACAAAAATTAGTTGGGCATAGTGACATGCATCTGTAGTTCCATCTACTTGGAAAGCTGAGGTGGAAGGATCACCTGAGTCCAGCAGGTAGAGGCTGTGGTGGCCATGAACATGCAAATGCACTCCAGCCGGGGCAACAAAGTAAGAGACTCCAAATCAAAAAATAATAATAATAATAAAAATAAAAATAAAATAAAATTCTGCATAAGAATTTATTTAGACAGTACAGGGGGGTTAGACTGATTAAAAAATACATTAAGATTTCAAAACCACATGCATATAGCCCTTGGGCACATTGACAATTAACTGGAAAAGTAAATTAGTAGGAAAGGCTTCATGGAGGAAATAGCACAGAGTTTTTAAAGAAAGGAAGAGGTTTGGACACACAAAACAGAAGGCAATCCAGAAGGAATAATGTCAGACATAAGAATTGCCTAACTTTGTGTGAAGGAGCTCTAACTAGAATACAGACTTTCTGACAAGGTTCAGTAAAGAATAGACTGCAGGGTACACCAACCGCTAGGCAAAGGCATTTTAGTGGGATGCAATAGATAGTGGAGATTTATATATTCTCACTTTGAAAATAAACGATGAAAGTAATGTTTAAGCAACGTGAGAATATTATCAGTACAAAGAATGATTCAGAAGGTGAAAAGAATACATAAAATCTGGATATGATATATCCACATATATTATGCCCATATAATATTTATATATAATATATCCATATAACATTTAATCTGGATACTAGGTAAAAGACTCTTTAAAGGCAACATTGCTTAAAAAAAAAAACCCACATCATTTAAGGCTCCAGTTCCAATCTCAACTGGCTGTCAATAAAGAGAACAAATTTCTGAGCCCCCATTTCCTTCTCCGTAAAATTGGGATAATAAAACAAATCTAAAACTACTGTGAGAATCAACTGAAACAATGTTATATGAAAGCCAAAGTATTATTCAAATACCATTTATTAACGAAGGTGGGTTAGGAGGACAATAACAAAATGAAGAAAATACACAATTTCAAGAGGTTCAAGATTTCTAAGTACAAACTAGCAGGGCTTGGTGACAGTTGAAGCTAAAAGAGACCATCTGGCCTGACAAACTGAGAGAAAACAAGTTAGAGTGAGATAATCTGGGGCTTGTAGAATTTGATGTGACAAGACTAAGGTAACTTGGACACATGGAACTGTTGTTTGGAAGGAAAAGAAACAGCAGCTACTGCCAAGTAGCCCAGTGATTAAGGACACACTTATTTCTCATTTTATGTTTTTGGGAGTCATAGATACAGCCTGACCAACCGCCTCCACAACTCCTAAGCCATAAATTTGAGCTGGGAAAGTTATTTCTTTGAATCTCAGCTTCTTCATCTGTAAAATGCAGATATTTATCGATCTCAGAATTACTAGTAAAGGCTCCGCAAATGGTAGCTATTATGATGATAACAGTTATCATTATTGGACCCACTATTAAAATGAGGACAGAACCTTTGAGATAATATTTAAAATTTGACTCCGTCCTGTCGAAAAACTAAGGATGGAATTTGCTCCATGCTAACACAGTAGGTAATTCAAACGGGAATAACTGCACGCACAACTCTTCCATAGAATCCAAGAACAATTCAGGGTTTTTTATATTTTAACGTAAGCCTTGAAACGAGACTCTCACATAAACAAACACGTCAAAAGTGTCAGGAAACAAATCTTAACAAATTAAGAATCTGAGAACCCGTTAAATCGACCGATCCTGCTAATTCCTTGGAAGGTGTAACTTGGAATACAGCTTTCCCTGCCATTTATGCAAAAGACACCAAGTGACTGCCAAAGAGAAAGAGAGTAAGAGTAGACTGGTTTAAAAAGCAAAAGGCACAACAGGTAAAATGAGAAAGCAGTGGGCTGAAATCAACACATCAACCCTAGGCGGCGGGGTGCTGGATCAAGCAGAGGACCCCGACGGGAAAAGTGGGGTTCGGCATCTGATCGCCCGGGCGTTTGCCCCTGTCTGACCACGCGCCTTTCCCCCTCTCCTCTCCCTCCCCTTCCGCACCTTTCCGCTTCTGCCTCATTTCTGCGCGGTCGTAGCAGGAGCCACCATGGACAGTGTGGCTACCGACTCAGACCACGGGGCAAGCTGACAGCCACCAAGCAACCCTGGCCTGTCGTAAAATGACGTCCACGTATCGTAAAGCCATTCCCAGAAGGCGTTGCGCGCAAAGCCCCGCCCCGCCCCGTCCCCGGACGCGTCTCGCCGGGCGGTGGTCCTACCCCGCATCGGACGGATGGAGGACGGGAAGGTCTGGAAGGAATTGGCAGCTTGAGAGTTGGAAAGCGGACCCGGGCAGTACAGCTCTGGGACGAAGCTTCCATATAGAGGTTGTGTCAGGAAGTCTAAGTGAGGACGTGGAAGTTGAGATCTCTGGGGGTGGGGGGTGTAGGAGCCCAGGGGCGTCACATCCGGGAAGGTTAGGCGGGAACGTGAAGGGGGGAGATCGCGGGAGGATGAACCCTCTAGTGTTGTGGGAACTAAATTCAGAGCGTGAAAGAGACCTGGAGAGGCAAGCAAGTGACACTCTGACGTGCAGGCTTTGAGACCAGTTGGTCACTTGGTCTCTGGTAAATGGCCCATGTCACGGATAACCAGCAGGAAAGCTGTGAATGCCTCTCCTGAAAAACACGCAGGCACACGGTTTTGCAGAGTTTGGAGGGGGAACATGGCATGTTTTCCTGAAACCCATCCGTGATCTCCTTTGTTCGTGGACCAGAGATTAAGGCTCCCCCCAGTAAAGACAGGACTATGTGCTCCCCTAGAATTGAAACAAGGAGTCTTTGACCCAGCTAGGAGGACACTGAAATTGTTATGGTCCGAGGCAGGCTTGGCTGCTCCTCTTCATACCAATTAATCAAAGGGGCAGGGAACTGATAGAAGTTTATTTCTGAGTTGGAATCCAGGGAGCAGAGCCCGATTCCAGGTCCCTTCTAAAAGACCGCGGGATTCTGCCCACCCTCCAGGCTTTTACAGTTTGCTTTTATAGTCCAGAGTTGTAGATACCTATAACCACGTGACCAGCAGAGCGTTGTTTAGAACTTAAGTTACAGCTGCATTTTACATTTAGTGACATTTAAAGTAAAGAAAGTTTACAAGGCCCAAGACATCATGCATTACAAAATTATGCAAATCACAAGACTCATGCTTACATTGGTACTATATAGTTCAAAGAAAGGGGGTAAGTAGGGATTTACATCTTTGGGTGTAGTCTGCTGGGAGGTCGAGAATCCCCTGAAGCTACTTATTGGGAGTGCATTGAAGAAAGGGAGACTCTCAGGAATGTGCTCAGGAATGTGCAAGAGCACTTGAATCCCCACCATGCCCTTCTCTAGGGGCTGTGGCAACAGGGAGGAACTTGAGTGGGTCTCTGTTATTTCCCCACTGTCAGTTGAGGCCATGATATCGATCATTGGAGTAGCTATGTCATGCTGCCTTATCATAAACATGTCTATGGTTCTTTCCTTCACCTGGTTTTCATGCTTTACAGGCTTAGCACTGCCATGATGTTCCCCGGTTCATCTGGGATGAAAGTGCAAAACTCAGTGTGGATAACGGCACATGTGCCTCCTTGAGACACGGATGTGGAGGGACACACTTTGCAGCCCTATATTGGGTGAAAAGAAACTGAGGACATAATCATATCATTTAAAATAGATCTAGTCCATCGAGTGTGCAGATAGGGCAAGTTGGCTATGTTCGCTTTTTGCAGAGTGCTGTGTTTGTGTCGTTGGGCCCATGGAAAGCCCAGAGTTCATCTGGGGAGAAGCCAAAGCCATAAATTAATACCACAGATCCACCATGTCCCATTGGGAGCTCACCAGTATACCCTTGTCCTGAGTCCAATCGGTAGCAAACAGATCGCTGTCTTTAAGGACAATTAGGTTTTGGCACTGTTCTAAAGGAAGCCAGCCCATGTGTCGGGTCGCATTCAAAAAATGTTGACTTGAGTGGCTTTTTTGTTCACAACACAAGGGGGCTGGTTTGTTTAATCTACCATTTTCAGGTGTGAGCCATATAAATCCATCCCACATCTGATGGAACCCTTCCATGGTTCGATAATTGGGGCTTCAGGCTTGCACTGATTATGTTGGCTAAAAACTAGTGTTATCTTTTATGGTAGATTGGTATGAAAAGGCGAAGTCATGACCTATTTTATTTATAGTTTCTTTAATGGGCCACTGCTGTGAACTAATCCTTGTTAGGTCATCACTATTAGCTGTTTATCTTTCTACTCTGTATTACAGATCCAGCTACTTCCAGTTGGTCTCCTGGAGGGATGAAACCCACCAGGGAAGCCCAAATGCCCCTGAGACTGAAGTTGTCCGCAAATCCAACAATTTGGATAATTGAATGTGCTAGCATAGGAATAGGCCCACTCTAAGTGCACATTTCCATTGGTAGTTATATCATAGGGTAACAAAAACAGTAAGAATCATTTTGTTTGCTTAAATAGCAGCCTTAAGTCCTGTACCGGCTCTGCTGTCCACTGAGGCTGTGGTGCTGGTCCGGGAACAGGGTCTCTCTGTTCAGGTGTATACTTTTGACTCGGGAATGGTCTATCCAAGACTTGATGCCCGTGGGCTTCAGTGCAGTAGGAGTGATGAGTAGGATGTTGCAGGGTTCTTTCCACTTTTCTTGCAGCTGAGGGTTGGGTCCTTCCTTTCTCAGCACTGGCTGCCCTGGGTGGAAGGGATGGATGTCTGTGTTCTCCGTGGCCCAGGAAGTTTCTAGGGGAAGCACACTTGTGAACTGTGGTTAAAACTTGTCCCAAACAGGCAACATATTTCCGTAGGAGCACCTCATGTCTGTGGCCCCACTTCCTTTGGAGATATAGGAAAAAGGCCCATCATAAACAATTTCAAAGGGACTTAAATTAGTCCCGCTTCGAGGATTGACTTGGACCCTGAGCAATGCAATACCCAATACTTGGGTTCAGTTTACTTGTGTCTCCAAAAGATTCCGAGTGATTATTGTGCTAAACCATGAACCGAAAGATCGGGCAGTTCTAGTCTTAAATCTGATAGAGTTTTCTTTTCTTTTTTTTTTCTGAGTTAGAGTCTCAATCTGTTGCCCAGGCTGGAGTGCAGTGGTATGCTCATGGCTACCAGAGCCTCGACCTGCTGGGCTCCTGTGATCAGATGATCCTTCTGGTTCCACCTTCCAAGTAGCTGGAACTACAGGCGCATGCTACCATGCCTGGCTAATTTTTTGGTTTATTGTAGAGACAAGATCTCACCAAGTTGTCCAGGCTGGTATTGGACTCGTGGGCTCAGGCAGTCCTCTAACCTTGGCCTTCCAAAGTGCTGGGATTACAGGCTTGAGCCACTGCACCCAGCCACTGCACCCAGCCTCTGATGGAGTTTTCTTTGGATTTGCCGAGAGGTAGGGTAGGCTGCAGCTTGACCTGCAGTAAACTGTCATTTTATAAATATCTGAATGCCTCCCCAAACCTACCTATGGGCAATTCATCTATGTCTAACCTGTGCTAACTACCCTGCCTCAAAACTGGCCTGGTCAAACTTTGTGACTTGACAGCTTGCCAAATTCAGTGGTGTATTTCTGTCAATTGTCATCTTACTACCAATGAACATAAGTTATCTTTCATGAAAATTTTTTATGCCAGACTCCTCCACTCTCTTGATTTTTCTTCTACTCTTTCTCAGTTCCGTGTGGACTCTCTGCCTCACCTCAAAATAGTAGTGTTTCACTGAATAGTTACTCAGCCCTGTCTCGACCAGAGACAGGTGATCCCCAGAGTACAATAGCTTTAAATACCATGTATCTGCTCCCAGGTTTATAGTCCAACCCCCACTTCTCCCCAGTTGATACCTTGTTAGCTATAGGTGTCCAATATGTATCTCAAATTTAACATGTCCAAAGCAGAACTCTATTTTTACTCCAAATCTGCTCTTTCCACATTCCTTCTTATCTAAAGGTGCCATCATCCACCTCATCACTCTTTTACCAGACAGAGAGAGAGAGAGAGAGAGAGAGAGAGAGAGAAGTGGTAATATCCTTGTAATTTTAAGTAGGCATTAGGGTGGACCTTTTTAAGGATGTGATATTTGAGCTAGTACTTGATAAGCAGATATCTCAGGGAAAAGTGTTTCAGGTAGAAGAAGCAGTTAGTGCAAAGGTCCAAGGGTGAAAGGAATCCTGGTGTATTCAAGGAAGGTAGGAGGCCAGGGTTAGTTGAGCAGTGAGTGAGGCAAGGTGAAATAGCGGTCAGAAAAGGAATGGGGAATAGGGGTGGGGAACGGTGCAGCTCATGTAAGACCTTGGAGGCCATTGAAAAGCCTTTGGCTGTTACTGTGAGATGGGACACCAAAAGAGTTTTCAGCACAGAAATGACCTGAGCTGATCTGTCATTTAAAGGCATGTCTATCTGCTGTGTTGAGAATAGACTGCAGGAGGCGGCAGTGTCAACATGGGGAAGATCAGTTGGGTGACTGTTACCATAGCCAGGCCGGTGATTCTCAAACTGTGCTGCACATTAGAATCATCTGTAGAGCAGTGAAAACTCCCAGTTTCCAGTTCAGATCCCATACCTACTAAAGCAGAATATTAAGGAATAGGAACCGAGCATGAGTATGTTTAAAAAATGCTTGGGTGATTCCAATACACAGCAAAGTCTGGGACCCACTGAATGAATCCAGAGATTATTGAGACTCAAATAAGGGTAGTCAGCAGTGGAAATGATGGCGAGAAGTGTTCAGATTCTAAATACAATTTGAAGATTTCGACAAGACTTCCTGACAGATCAGATATTGGATATAGGAGAAAGATAGACATCAACATCAAGTTTGACACCAAAGCTTTTGGACCAAGAAACTGGAGCAATGTAATTTCCATTAACTGAAAAGGAAAAAACTACGTGGTGTGGTGTTTCAAAAGGGTGCTGGGGCGTCAGTTTGAACCTGTTGTATTTTGGGATGCCTAGTGAGCAGAAAATCGCAAAAGAGGTCAGTACTGGAGATTCAGTCAAGAGTTACAGGCATATAGGTGAAATATAAAGCTATGAACTAGGTGAATATGGAAAGGAAAGAGACCAAAGACCAAGCCTTCGGGTATTCTATTACTAACAGGTTGAGGAGAAGAGGAGTTACCCACAAAAGAGACTGAGGAGGCACCTCTAGGGAGGTGGAAAGAAAACTTGGA